TAACAAAAGGAACCAGACTCTCTTGGGGGAACTTGCTGAATCTAGGGTCAGGGACACAAAAAGTGGAAGATATGCCTGGGGCTTCTAGGAGTGCCAGAAAAGATAATTCTCAAGGATGAACATGACTATGTTAAAAAAAAACAAAGGAGCTGATTTATAAAACTTCCCATTGCCCAAATATGGGATAATTTTAGAACTAAAAACAATGAATAGCCAGGAACAAAGACATGCACCCATAATTTCAGTGTCTTAAGAAGCTGATAATGGATGATCACAAGTTTAAAGTCAGCCTCAGAGACTTAGTGAGACCCTGTCTCAAAATACAAAATAAAAAGAACTGGGGATGTAGTTTATTTGTAGACTATCCCTGGGTTCAATCCCCAGTATTGAACAATAATGAAAGGAAGAGATGTGTCTTCTTCTTCTTCTTTTTTTTTTTGGTAGTTGTGGATGGACAGCATGCCTTTATTTTATTTGTTTATTTTTATGTGGTGCTAAGGATCGAACCCAGTACCTCACACTGAGAAGAATCTTCCTAGAAAAGAACATCAACTATTGAAACATAGACAGGAGACCAAGTTCAATGCCCAGCACAAAAACAAAGAAAAAGAATTACAGGAGAAAAAATCACGATTTTCCCACCTCCAGTTTAACAACTTATTAAGGCAAGGATCATCAAATGATATTAAAATCTTTAGGAAGATGGTTGTGGGGTAACAGTATATTAACATGTACCAAATATACCTTCAGGTTATTTTCTACTTGCACAAGGAAAAAATACCTTTATAATGGTGAGAGATGGTGGTCATTACCTTATCCAAGTAATACACAGAACAGTGGGTCTATCTAGTTTTGTGTCCCCTAATGTGACATAATATGAAACACATGGAATTACTATTGAGTCATTCTATTTAAAAAAAAAAAAAAAAAAAAGTCAGAGCTGGGGATATAGCTCAGTTGGTAGAGTGCTTGCCTCACATGCACAAGGCCCTGAGTTCAATCCCCAACACCACCAGAAAAACCCAAAAAGTTTACTCTGAAGTCAAGGCCTCACTTCCAGTTTATAGGAAATATAAGAGAATACAGGAAACAACCAGGAGCCCTGGTGCACATTATAATTCCAGCAGCTCAGGATTTCAAGTTCAAGATTAGCCTCTTTAATTCAGCAAAGCCTTAAGCAATTTAGGGAAACCTTATCTCAAATTGAAAAATAAAAAGGGCTAGGGATGATGTGGCTCGGTGGTTAAGCACTCCTGGGTTTGATCCTAGTACAAATAAATAAATAATAGCAAAAAGGACTGGGGATCAAAAAAAGAAACAAACAAACAAACCCATCATGATAAAACAATGTAACCAACTAGGAATGTGGAACATTCTACAAAACAGCTGTCCAGAACCCATAAAATTTACTAATGCCATGAAGCAGGGAAAAGAATAATCATGGAGCTGGCTCTGGAGCTCAGCAGTAGCGCACTTGCCTGGCATGTGGTGAGGCACTGAATTCAAGTCTCAGCACCACGTATAAATAAATAAGGGTCTATCAACAACTTAAATAGTGAAAAAAAAAAAAAAAGAATAATCATGGATGAAAGCAACCAAAAAGAAAAAAATACATGTAATATGTGAACCTTGTTTGGATCCTGGTTTGGAAAAAAAAAAGTTGTAAGAGACATTCTTTACCAGGAGAATCTGAATACGGTCTGGATATTATAAGAAAACTGACAAGAACATTAAGACCAACCACTGTGTGACACTGAGCAAATGATTTCATCTTTCTCAGTTTTTTTCTTACTACTAAAAATAGATTCACAGCCAGATGTGGTGGCTCTCACCTGTGATCCCAGCTACTCAAAAGACTGGATCTAAGGTTTGAGACCACCTAGCAAGCTCCTGTCTCAAAATAAAATAAAAGGGCTGGGGATGTGGCTCAGTGGTCAAGTGCCACTGAGTTCAATCCCCAGTACAAAAAAAAAAAAAAAAGAAAAAAAAAAAAAAAGAAATAAAATAAAATAAAAAAGAGTGGGGATGGGGGCTGGAGTTGTGGCTCAGTGGTACAGTGCTTGCCTAGCACATGTGAGGCCCTGGATTCGATCCTTAGCACCACATTAAAAATTTTAAAAAATAATAAAATAAATTTATTGTGTCCAATTACAATTAAAAAATAAATTAAAAAAAAAAAAGGATGGGGTTGGGGATTTAGCTCAGTGGCAGAGCGCTTGCCTAGCACGCGCAAGGCCCTGGGTTTGGTCCTCAGCCCTGTAAAAAAAAAAAAAAAAAAGGTATAAAAAAAATAAAAATAAAAAAGGAGTGGGGATGTAGCTCAGTGGTAGAGCTCTTCACTACCATGCATGGGGTCCTGGGACAATCTCCCTGTACTGTAATAAATAAGTAAATACTATATAAAATATATTTAAAAACTGAGATTCATAATAGTATCCATACTTCATAGGACAGTTAACTAGAAGATAAAGTGAACAATCCAGAAAGTTCATGACAACAAGCATTCAATAAATGTTAGTTATTAGCCAGACATGGTGGCACATGTCCATGTTCCCAGCAACTGCAGAGGCTAAGGTAGGAGAATTACAAATTTGAGGCCAACATCTGCATCTAAGTGGAACCCTGTTTCAAAATTAAAAAAACAAAGCCGAGTGTAGTGGCATTGTAATCCCACAGACTAGGAAGCTCAGGCAAGACAATCCTGAGTTCAAGGCTAGCCTCAGCAACTTAGGCCCTAAGCAATTTAGCAAGACCCTGTCTTAATTTTTTTGTTTGTTTGTTTGTTTGTTACCAGGAATTGAGCCCAGAGGCACTTAACCACTGAGTCACATTCCCAACCCTTTTTTATATTTTTATTTAGAGATAGGGTCTTTCTAAATTCCTGAAGCTGGCTTTGAGGCTACTGCCTCAGCCTCCAAGCAGCTGGTATTGTAGGCATGAAGGCATGCGACACTGCACCTGGCTACTGTCTCAAATTTTGGAGGAAAAAAAAAAGGGGGGGGGGATTGCTGGGGATATAGCTTAGTGGTAAAGTGCCCCTGGGTTTAATCTCCTCTTCCAATAAATAAATAAATGTTTATTATTTATTCTTAAAAATTGGCCATGATATCTTCATTTCTATATTAAAAATATGGTTAGGGAAAAAAGTAATGGCTGCAAATCAGGATTACAATGCCTCTAATCCCAGTTACTTAGGAGACTGAGGCAGGAGGAACAAAAATTCCAGGCCAACCAAAGCAATTTAGCAAGACCATGTCTCAAAATTTAAAAAAAACTAAAAAAGGCTGGTGATATAACTTGGTAATAGAGCACCACTGGGTTCAATCCCAATACCCTAAAAAAATTAACACTACAGAAAAGAAACAAAAAGTCTAATTTTTTTTTTAAACTCAAAATGATTACATTATCAGTGGATACCGTTACAGCTCTAGCTTTTTCTTTGCAGTACCCATGCTATGTAAGCACTCTTGCCCTTGGATGCATATATAGTAAAATGGTAAAAATTTAGAACAGAAACTTCAAAATGACCGTTGCCTCTGGGAACAAAGGATGGAAATTGGGAAAGATACAAAAATGTTTTTCCATGATATCAGAAATGCTTTGAAATCCAATTAAACAAAAATATTCACATTTATTGCTTTTTAAAATTTGTTTTAAGATACTGGGGATTGAATTTTTGAAATTTGAAAAATTGAAAATTTCAGGGCCTCGAAAATGCTAGGCAAGTGCTCTATCTCTAAGCTCCATTCCCAGTCCAAAATTTATTTAGTCTGAGTAAAAAATACAGGTTATTTTGTGATTAGCTGTACTTTACTTTTTCTGTATTTTTATTTTTCCCAAATAAGACTTTTTTTTCTTCTCTTGATTCTCTACCACCAAAAGCTGCATTTAAAAAACTACTAAAACCCAAGCTGGCTGTGATGGTGCATGCCTGTAATTTCAGCAACTCAGGAGGCTGAGGTAGGAGGATTGCAAGTTCAAAATGAGCCTCAGCAATTTACCGAGGCCCTAAGCAACTTAGCGAGACCCTGTCCCTAGTACCAAAAAAAAAAACAAACTGAAATCCATAAAAGGAAATAATCATAGATAATGCAAACAGCCTAAAGATAACCAAGTGTTCAGTGCCTCTAATTTCAATAGCAGAAACAGTTTTCTGCACAGGCCACTTCCCTGCCTCTCTTTCTAGACAGAAGCTAGGAACTGGTTCATCTGTCTAGTTTAAGTTAACTCCCCCAGAAGAGTTAAGCTTTATCTTGCACAAACTCAAAAGGTTTGCATCTGAAACCTCTAACCATACCTTGAGCACTAACAAATAACCAAATTCTAGGATATCCTTAACCACAACAATCACTTTAATTTTTAAGACCTTTTCCCATTTATTCTATTATTTGATTCTCATAATAGTCCCATGAGGCCAATATTATCAGTACCTACATTTTCAGATGACACCAGTGTACAACGTAAATAGCAGCCGGTGGTCAAAAGTCAATAACACAGTTAGGATGGCAACTCCTCAGCTTCTGAACTGAATCACCCTAACAGAGCTCCTGTGTGACGGTATTTCAGCCATGTCACATCACACCCAGAAACCAGGAGGGGCTGCACACAACACAGATTTAAATGCTTTTCTTCACTTGTGTCCCTAATCTTTCTCTCTTCTTCCAGACAGGCAGCCAAGAACAAGAGAGTTGCCACTATTAACTATTCTCTTCCAAGCAGCCACTCATGCTTCATTTTCCCTAACTCCTTCAGATAGACAGTCAAAAAGGGGAACCAATATGACCAAGGTGACACAAGATGGCCCCCCTGACACAGGAATCACTACAACAAAGAGAAAGGACATTCTCACCTTCTATACAAGTCTCCTTCCATCTTCCAAGAGTTAAGGAGAATGAAAATACCACATAAAAGCCTAGGCTACCACTCTCTATCAGTGCTGGCAAAAAGCCTTTACTTAAGGGTTTAATTAACAATTAACAACCAAAAAAAGGTAAAAGTACCAGTTTTTTAAACGGTCCCGGGCTTCCAACTGGGCTCCCACTTCAAAGCTGATTCCTCGTCTGTTAGGTGGATGCTTTGTCATTTTCAGTCATCAACAGGGCTGCCTTTATTCTCCTGAAAAAGCCAATTAAATATTTATGAAACTTAGGCAAAGTCTGCCCAGAGTGTAGCACCACTCACTACACATAAAAAAACAAACAGGCATTATTCAAAACACAAAGATCCATGAAACCCTGACAGTGCCCTTTATCATGCCTGCCCTCCTTTCAACACAGGTGTCCCTCCACTGATTCCTCCTCCTCCACCATGCCCATCACATGGTCTCTGGCACTGAGGAATTAGGAAACCTTCCCTCAGCACTGCTTATCAAGGTCTTGCCTAGAAGGAGCACCCCTCAGAATGTCACAAAATAATGTTATCATGATTAAAGTCAATCAATTGCTGGCACAGCCAACAAACATTTGCTCAGTGATTATTTAGGGAAATAGTCAAGACCAAGAAACATACACTTCCTGCCCTCAAGAATCCTTCAGTTTAATGGGGGAAAACAAAAATTGACAGTAAACAAAAATAATGGTAAGTTGTAATTGCCATGAAATTTAAGAGTTACAAAGGACATCAACCTCTCCTGACACTGAGACAAGAGCTGGGCATGGTGGCACATGTCTACAGCCCCCACTAATTGGGAGGCTGAGGCAGAAGAATCCAAGTTCCTGTCTCAAAGTAATGAAAAGAGCTGGGGATGTAGCTCAATCTCAAAGTGCCTGTGGGTTCAATTCCTAGTATCAAACACATACCAAAAAAAAAAAAAACAACAAAAAACATATTGAAGTAGCTATTAAACAACCCATTCCAGCGGGCTGAATCTGGGAAATACAAACACAACTCAAATAGAAGTAGGAATGGTTAACAGTTTAATTAAGGATATTGAAACATAATAAACTGAAGCTATGTGAGCATCAGGGTTTCAAACATATATAGACCCTGAGAAAGGGAGAGTCAGAGGTTTGACTGACTTTCCTTAACACCATCCAGAAAATGATCAAAACTGGACATGTAAGTATAATCCAATCAGTAGGGTAGTCTTCATTTGAGTTTCCCTGAAATGCCACATCAAAACATCTACCTTTTATCTCTGACTTCAGGCATACCAAGTGATATTCTGATTAACAGCCTGCCCGCACAGATCATATAAAAAAGTGATGCCTAACAAGAAAGGCAGAGTGGAACGGAATGCTCAGTGAGCTGCAAGGCCCAGCCCCCATCAGAGGTAATGTAATTTAATGTAATGGGGGTCAAATGCCTGGCCTTGAATTCACAGCTCCACCCCATTTTAGCTGCATGAATTTGTATAAATTACTTAACCTCTATGAATTTGTTTCTTCTCTGTAAAATGGTGAAGGTGATCATAATACTACCCCTCTTCAAGCAGTGAGTGTGGGGATTAAGAGAGTCAATCCATTTAAAGAGCACAATGCTGATAAAGTAAGTAGCCATTTACAACTATTGTCATAAATGAGGATATTAGATTTAAAATAACTTGGCTGAAGCTCAGGGGCTAAGTGACAGGCCCTAGAATAAAAGTCCAGATATGCCTGATTTCTGAATTAATTCTGTTTACCACACAATCTCCCGTTGGGGACCTTCCTTTAAAATTCAGGCATAAGGGCCCAGTCGTCCTAGCCACTGAGGCTGAGGCAGCTGAGCAACTTAAGGAGACCCGGTCTCAAAAAGTAAAAAGGGCTGGGGAAATAGCTTAGTTATAAAGCACCCCTGAGTTCAATCTCTAGTACCAAAAAAAAAAAAATTAAAAATAATAGGCATGAGGGGAAAAGGCAATAAATGAATGAAGATAAGCAAATTATTCCCAATGGGTTAAAAAAAAAAAGTTACTCTTGAGGTTGAATTGTCAAAAAGTTCTTCACTGTAATTCTGACCCATCTGTTTCAAGTTTCACTCTGGTATCAAACAAAACAAGATGAAACTAATCTGATTTTCTCATCCCATCATCAATCTTCCCTCCACCTCTGTATGGTGGTAGAATTTTCTGTTTGGTTTTTTTTTTTTTTTTTTTTTGGTGGGTGGGGAGATACCAGGGATTGAAGTCAGGGACAGGGTCTTGCTAAATTACTTAAAGCCTTGCTAAATTGCTGAGACTGGCTTTGAATTTGAGCTCCTCCTGCCTCAGTCTCCTAAATTGCCCAGGCATGCACCACCAGCAATTTCTTTTTAAATCCCACATTAGGGATGTAGCTCAGTGATAAAGCATTTGCCTAGTAGCATGCATGAGGCCATGGGATTGATCCCCAGCCAAAAAAAAAAAAAAAAGTAAAACTGGGCGCTGTAAACAGGACTGTAATCATAGCTATTGGGAATGCTGAGGATCTCAAATCTGAGGCCAGCCTGGGCAATTTAGAGATGCTATTTTTTTAAAAAAAGCCAAGCCCACACTTATGATCCCAGGAATTTAGGAGGCTAAGAAGGAGGATCTTAAAGTCAAACTAGCAATTTAGTGAGAAACACTGTTTCAAAATAAAAAATAAACTGGTGGTTCATGCCTGTAATCCCAATGGCTTGGGGCAAGAGGCAGAAGGATCCAGAGTTCAAAGCCAGCCTCAGTAATTTAGCGAGGAGCTTAATAAATCAGTGAGACCCAAACTGGGCTAGGGATGTAGCTCAGTAGTCGAGTGTCCCCCCGAATTCAATTTCCCAGTACCAAAAAATAAATAAATAAACAAACAAATAAAAAGAACTAGGGATATAGCTCATTGGTAAAGCACCCCAGAGGTTTGAAAAAAAAATTAAAGATTAGAATTTAAAAAATTAAAAATTAGAATTTTTTAAAAATCTGGGATGGACAGGGTGGTCCACACCTGTAATCCCAGCAGTTTTGGAGGCTGAGGCAGGAGGACTGCGGGATCCAACCCAGCATCAGCAATTTAGCAAGGCCCTAAACAACTAAGCAAAATTAAAAAAATAAAAAGGGCTGGGGGTGTGGCTCAGTGGTTAAGTGCTCCTGAGTTCAATCCCTGATATTTATAAAAATAAAGGGGAGAGGATGCTGGGGATGTAGCTCAATGGTAAAGAGCCCAACTTCAATTTGTAATACATAAAGAAAAAAAAATTTTTTTTAATTTACAAAAATGGGGGGTTGGGGGACCAAGGATGCAACTCAGTGATAAATCACTTGCCTATAATGCCCAAGGCCCTGGGTTCAATCCCCGGTGCACCACAACAAAATAGAAGCTGAATTAAAAAAAAAAAAAAAAATGTCTAAGAAGTATATTTTTACCTTTTGCACTTAGTTGTAAATATAAATCATTTTAACTTATGCGTCCTTCAGGCCTTAGGTTTTCATTCCTAAAACCATGTTCAATATGGACACGAGGGAAATTTCATAAGAGAAAAAAGTCTGATGCAATCTGTATCCACACAGGATTCCACTTTAAAGACTTTGGCAGGACTTCAAATTACTCCTTTACGTTCAAATTTTCCTAAATGAAGAGCCCTAGGCTCTACAAGAGACAGAGAGCCTAGTTTATTTCATTAAATACATATTCAGTCAATGCCCCCAGCATCAATGGTAATGAAAGCATTAAATGTACGTTGCATAGCACAGTTCAAAAGGCATTTCACAAACTATAAACTAGGAGAAAATAAGACAAAAAGCTAACTTCCCTTTTTAACAAAGAATGCAAACAGAAGGAAGACAAAAAAGTCATTTCACTTAAAAATGGACAAAGTTAGAGAAGGCATGGTGGCGCACCCCAAAGTCTCTAATTCCAGCAGCTCAGGAGATTGAGGCAGAAGGATCACCAGTTTAAATCCAGCCTCGACACTAAGCAACTCAGTGAGACCCTGTCTTTTAAATACAAAATAGGGCTGGGGATGCGACTCAGTGGTAGAGTGCCCCTGACTTCAATACCCAGTACCCAACCCCCCCCCCAAAAAAAGGACAAAGTTTAATAACTGATTATTATGGGGAGGAGGGGAGATACAAAGGTCTGATAAACATGTGATGTTATACCCATATAACCCACCCTAAATTAAAGGAAATGCAAATCAAAACAACATTTTTTCCATTCTCAGATTGCCTAAGATGTAAAAGTATTGTTAACAGGGCTAAGGAGAAAAGAATATGCTTATATATACTTCCACCAAAAAGCATAAACTGGAAAAGCTTTTCTACAGGCAACTTGGCACTACCTACAAAAATGCCAATACTCTTTGACCCAACAACCTCACACTATTAACTTATCTTAGATATACTCCCTCAAAGTCGGCCACATTATTTGTAAAGATGACTAATAAAAAGAGCTTTGCAATGCTGCAGCCAAAATGTCCATCAAAAGGGGCCTCCTTAGGGCTGGGGCTGTAGCTCAGTGGTAAAGTGCTTGCCTCACATGTGTGAGGCACTGGGTTCGAGTCTCAGCACCACATACAAATAAATATATTGTGTGTCTATCTACAACTAATAAAAAAAAATTTTAAGTGGGCCTCATTAAAGGAATTGTGGTTCATCTACACAACAGAACACTGTACAGCTTATAAAGGGAATAGTGGCAATCTGTAAATGCTTAGATGAAGATATCTGCAATAACTGTTGTCCAGTAGAAGGACAAAGCTAAAAGGCATATACTTGTGACTAGCTATCCCATTAATATAAATAATCAAATATAGACATAAACAGAGACATTAATCTAGTCCAGCATGTGCACAAAATTACTTCCTAGAAGAAACTGAGAAACTTTTTAAGTAGTTCTGTGAAGGCTGGGGTTGTAGCTCAGTGGTAGAGATTGCCTAATATGTATGGGGCCTTGGGTTCAATTCCCAGGACCACAAAAAAATAAATAAATAAATAAATAAATAAATAGACAGGAACAAAACATGAAAATTTAACTTTGCATTTTTTACTTTTCCATATTGTTAAAAAATTTCTAACCTGGGGCTAGGGTTGTGGCTCAGCGGTAGAGCACTCGCCTAGCACATGCGAGGCGCTGGGTTTGATCCTCAGCACCACTAACAATAAATAAAATAAAGATATTGTGTCCAACTACAACTAAAAAAATATTTTTTAAAAAAATTTCTAACCTTATGAATGTACTTTCATTTTA